TAGTGAAGGGCAAAACGGGTCATTTTTAGGATTCGGGTCACCGGATCCGGGTCTCTTCAATGAGCCGAATCTATGATCCGGATCCCGGGTCGTCGGGTCGGTCGCTTCGTTCTGGATCCGACGTTGACTGAACGGTTCTGGTTGTGGGACTGTATTAGAATCTGGGGTATTAGTGCTGGGCGATAATATCCGATGTTTGGAAAGCATCGATGTTTTTCTGTCGATGGTTTGTCAATTGTCATCGATGTTAGAAAGTTCGAAACATCGATTCCAATATCGATGTTTGCCTTTCGATGTTACTTGCATACATCGCAAAAAAGAGCAGTTCTTTAGTAATAGTAATATTTTATTTGACACAATTGACACAAATCAAATATAATAGTATATTACATTATAGATAAGCATAAGGCCGTTATATAGGTATATTTTATGTTTTCTTGAACCTTTTGAATCTAAAAAAATTGTTGTTGTTGTTGTTAGACATGAAGATCCATTGCTGTGGTGGTATGAAAGGAAAAATATATATCCAAAATTATATCATAAATAGCTATTATATCCACTTATCAAAAAATAAAAAAACGATTTAAATAAATAAAATATATCCTTAAAGGTTGCAAGGTAAGTTAGTAGAAAGATAGGTATCTAAATATCTACTAAATCCTATAGTCTACATTATTTTTCACATAATAATTCACTTGACATGAGAGAATAAAACTGTTTTTATTTTACTAAACAAAATCGAGCAGCTGATGGAAATAACGAGCCAATAAAATATATCATAATCATCTGATGTCACCGCTCTCGCTACTGCAGGTGGCTCAGCCGCATGAATGGGCAGAACGGGTCATCATAATGATTGATCTAGATGACCCGGGTCACTAAAATACACGAGTCTTCCCATCACTACATACGGGTCTCGGGAGCGGCGGCGTACTCCGTAAACCTCTGCGATCAATTTCATTACATAGTGCCACAGCACGGCCATACGAGATTAGCTGAGGTCCGCGACCCGAGTGATCCGACAGAACTTATATCGGGATTCGGGTCAGTCAGATCATCGTAAAGATCCGAATCTTTGATCCGGGTCAGACCCGACCCGCCCATCACTAATCCTAATATATTCTGAAAATAAGTAATAAGTATATACAATCATTTGACCAAAACTATTAAAATTTGTATTAAACAAACAATACATTAATATACAATACAAAACATGTTTGTATAAAATCTAAGTAGATCATAAAATGAAGAATAGAATTCGTTTAACAGTAAGTATCAAATATTTATTTTAAATGCTGCCTATTTTTAAAGTAAAGAAATTATATTTCTGGATAGAAATTTAAAGTATTTAAATAAATAATTTTCTTGAAAGAAGAAAATAGTTTCTTACGTATAAACGTGCGATACATTAAAATCAAATGTTGTACATTTGAATCAAGATTTTTTTTGCGTGTGGACCCAAAATTCCTGAAAATTTTTTTGAATTTTGTAAATAACTCGAATATGTATTAATCGATTTTGATTATTTTTGGTGTGTGGACTTTTGCTGTCAATCTACAATACAAAATTTTCACGAACTTCGAAGCCACGTTATTCTGGGACACCCTGTATTTTTGACAATACTGCAAACGCAATTTTTTTTCTAAATATAAAATATGGATATACCTAGATGATAAAATCAAAAAATCGAAACTCCTTCGCTAAACAAATTATAAGCTAACTAGTTTTGCATTTTTATCGTATTGAGACCATGTCACTTGAAGTTAGTTAAAATTTGTCACAGAAATTATAAAAAAATTGTACTTACTTATGGTGGGGCCTGGGATTGCTAGCTCTACGGAGGCCCATTTTCTAAAAGAAAAAAATTATTTTATTTTTGAGAGTCAGTTTACAGCCTATTATTTTAATTTATCAATTACATTACAGTTAAAATACCCCATTAAACTTTTTTTATTTTTCAGGTAAGCGGACGCGTCAACATCCATCATCCAACTCGATAGAGCGGAAACTACGTAAGTTTTTCGTAAAGCTCCTACAAATGGATTAATAATAGCTTCTTTGTCACGTTTAATTAAAAAAAATCAAATTACGGGAGATTGATTCGGAGGAAGCACTGGACTTAGACTTTTTTGTTAAAGTACATCTGGCATAAAAACAGATGGGATAATAATTGATCCTATAATTCTAAATGAGAATATAACCGAGTTCTTTGATCATTCAGTCAAAATTCCTTTTGTAATACTTCAACTAATCTAGATACACTTCTGTAAGAAAAAAATTATTTCTAGGTCGAAATAATACGGTTGCCTCAAAGGTAAAGGCTTTTAAGGCATTTTATTAGAAAGCACCTATGACGACCGTCGAAAATTTTGACAACTCTGTTTTATTTTTCTTGTACGTAACTGTAAATAGATTTTCTAGTTAAATAAAAACTGTATTAAATATATTATTTGTAACTGGATAGATCAGGTGCTATAACTTTAATCTAAAGGAAATATGGTGAAAAATATGTATTTTAATAGAGAAACATTGTAGCAAAGTACTGCTCTTTTTTAAAAACAAATATATATATATATATATATATATATATTTTTATCTAAAACATTTTCTTAATACCTTTACTTATTTTTATTGTAGCTGTAATTTTCAATGATAAATTTATTGGTCATTTTGACAAATTAAAAACAAAAAACAACTGGATCACGCAGAGTATCCTGCGTATGTACCTTTTACTCTTCTGAATTTTCATAATGGTACAATTTGCATTCTGAGCAGCTTCGCATGATTCGTCAGAATATTACTTGCAAAGCATGTGCTCTTTTTGGTACTTAGTTAAATTCAAAACATGAATAATTACTTTAATATTTAAATTTATTATATTTCGTCCATAAACAGCCAATTTTCTTTGGTATGCAAAACGAAACGATTTTTTCATAACTAATTATTTTAAGGACCAGCTTCTTAACCAATTGTGGGCAAAATTGGTATACATATAAACTCATTCCTGTCATTTTTTCTTTTATGATAAATTTGAGTGACGTGACAAGTAAAATATTGATTAACAAAATCAAAAACAAAAGTTGCATCCCGCAGCAACATTTATTTTTTGGTAGTAATTTATTTTTTCCGAATTATTAACAAAAAACATTTGTTTTTAATTACATAGTCATGAGCATATTCTTGTTTTAATTTTTTTTCAAGGACTGGTTTATTTTATTAATGTAATGTTAAAAAAAATAGCTATGTAAACTTTTTAAGACATGATGGCATACTTATATCTTCGATTTTCGTAAAAAAATGTATTTTTTTTTAATGTTTAGTACTTAGCCTTAATAAACTGAAGTGAAGAAGGTATAGTCTTTCCGATCTCAATTGAAGACCAAAGAGCTTGGCGGTATGTAGGTTCGGTCGCTACACAGCAACTCGGCATTGAAATATTTGAAAAACTTGTTCCCATATTTATTTAGCCATACCCATATACAGGTCTGGTCGCCCAGTTGAAGAATGCGCGCGGGCAAACGGCAAACAAACACAGCCGGACCGAGCGACCGGCCATAAATCTCAGTTGTCGACAAATTGCCTAGCAGTGCAGTGCAGCAATGCGGAATTTGATGTGATTCATATAATTTTAAATTATTATAGGCACCTTGAGAACATAAATAATTAAAATATGTGTTGGCCAAATGAACATATAAAAGAAATTTTCTACACACTATAATACAAATTTTTATTTTTTACCTTTAGCAGAAAACTTTTTTAGGGACGCCTATGAAACTCATTAAATTTTATTGCTATGCGTTTTTATACACGTTCAACTGACTTCGGAAAGATTATACTGTGTGTGGTTGGACATGCTATATGTATTATTCAGAAACCTAGAACGTTTGGAAAATATTAATTACTATGATTACTTTTACACTTTTTTAGTAGCATCATTCTTTACTGTGAAATTTCATCGCCATATTTCTGTAGCTACTTGCAATTGCAGAACAGTATTCATTTTTTTTTTACATGTCGTTACCTGTTTGTAATTCAATAGCCGTCAATGTTGGAGTTCAACGATACGTAAGATTATTTAATAAATGTTCAGCGTAGCAGGCGATGCATACCTCTGTCTCAGTTTGCAGCGGGTATAATGCATAATTAAAAATTGCACTATCAGTCTCAAAACAAAGATATTACATTGAAACTTACGTTATTGATTTTAAAATTATTGTTTTGAACCATTTGCATTCCCTGAAAGAGAACGTGGCAAATTTTCTATTGTATTTACTTTAAGTATCAGTGAAAACATTGTGGGAATTTTTTCTCGGTTTTTGTAAATGTGCTTTCAAAAAAATATATAAATTTGCGACTAATGAGGTTTGTAATAGCGCCAAATCAAACTGAATCATACATTCAACAAGGCAAATCATTGACATAAATTAAAAAGAGAACAGGGCCAAGAACTGTTTCTTGTGGAACTCCTGCATTAACATCCATGTTGATGTAGAATTGTTATGAATTAAATATTGTTGCCTATTACTGAGGTATGAATATATAAGACTGACACTGTTGCGAGTTGTGAAATCATAACAAGACTAAATTTTAGTGTAACCGAAACTTCTACTAAGCATCATTCCACTCTCACTTCCAATTAACAGAAATTGCTTAAGCTTTCTATATTCTGAGGAATTATTGTCAAGATACTACGACGCTTAAACTGGTATTGCGTGAAACAACTACTCTGCGTGTTAATTCCCCTACCAGCATTGATTTGCACCCACAATATCTAGCAGATATGATCTAGGATCAGTCTTCAACTGAACCCATCGGACATATACCGATTACCGGTTTCGAATTTATTTATTCTCATTAGTTTACTTTAGTTGGGATAACCGATGAATGATCAAGATGTTTTTCAAGCCTTAACCACAGACGAAGCCAGTATAGGTGAGATGTAATATTGGTACATCACATCACCGCCCTGCACACAATTACCAGGCAATAGAATTATGTTCCTACATGACCATGTACGTCGCAACGAGGCCCCATTCTCCCTATGCGGTTAACAAAAGGCAACAATTTATTACATCTCCTCGAGCGGGAATTTGCTTTGTCCTCAAAACAACAAAGAATCAAATTTAGCACCCACTGTCTCGGAACCGGGTTACGTGCGACACGTTTTTTCACGGCTCGGTCTCTCCCATTGTACTTATATTAAATTTGGGGGGGGGCTCTAATCTCCATTTATTTGCCCGCTCCCAGGGCGGCCCGTAAATCGATTAGGAAGGCGGCGCTCGTTGCGCATTTGTTTTTAATTAAACGTTATGTGGTCCGCGTCTAGAGGGCTTCGAGGGAAAAGTAGCCTCATGCATGGGGGGAAATTAAAATCGTAGCAGATGTTGCCGGGATAGAGACGTAGCGCCAGGGGGCCCGGCGACGTTTGTGTAATGGATACTTTGAGATATTCGGGGGCAATATTGTGCCGTTTAGCGAAATTAAATTGTTAACCCTTTGAAACATTATTTTATTTCCGTAACGGAGAATGCGGTTGCTTTATGTCTCAAAATAATTTATTTTGTTCCTTGTGAGTCGGTGGTCTAATAGAATCCGGTGATATATGCTATTTTATTTGGGGTCACTAAAAAATAGTGTGTATAGTACTCCAGTAACTGCAAAGGAAAATTGTAAGCATAGAGTAAGGGCCATTTTACACGAGGCCAGTTGTGAAGACATTCCACTAAGCCAATCCAATGATAAAGTTGAAGGCAATCCAATAAAAATTCAATTGAAGTTTATGGCCCATTTACACGAGGCCAGTTGTGAAGACATTCCATTAAGCCAATCCAATGACAAAGTTGAGGACAATCCAATAAAAATTCAATTGAAGTTTACACGTAGGCCAGTCCGTCATCCGCCAGGCTAGTATCTTTGTATAATCTATGTGGTCTAGTATATACGGTTGTGTAGAATGGATAGGCTAGGGCTAGGCTAGGCTTGGCTAGGAACGTACGTTCTCACAAATGCCATTACACAAGCCAATCCACTTCTTGAGTGGTGGGGGACGCTATTGGCTCCTAAAATTAGAAACCGTTCTAATTAGTGGAGTGGCTTGGGACAATGGCTGGAGACATTCCATTTACAGGACTGTCTCATTTACACGATGCCAATGTTGGATTGGCTTAGTGGAATGTCTTCACAACTGGCCTTGTGTAAATGGGTCATTATGCTT